TTTTTTTTTTCAGTTTTAAACAAGGAAGCTTTTTGTGACTCAGATTTTGTTTGTAGTACTTAGAAACGCCATCACAGGAGAGGTATTCTGTTCACATTGTAGGTTTTCTGTGTAATAATTTATGTTCTCTTCTCAAAAGTCTTGTTTCAGCGCTGAGGCTTCATGTTTAATGTCTCGGAAGCCCACGTGGGTTAGATACATTTACGTGCGAGATGCAAAAATAAAAACGACACTGTGTGCACTGCCTAGTCGTCTGTTAAAAGGGAACAGGCAGCTCTGCCTGCCAACAATGGATTTCTCACTGTATGATTGCTGAACATTAGCGGAGAGCAGCGATTTAAGTATGAAGCTTCTGAAGCCGTGAAACATTTTAGTGCGAATGGCCCAGATACACACTAGTTAAAACTTCCTGCTCCTGCTTTTATTTTTGCAATTTACTGAACAATGAAGAAGCTGCTCGTTATTTTTTCAGTCTAGGGGCGAATTAAAGCAAAAAAACATGACCCAGGAACACGTTCTTCCTTAACCTTTAATCAAAAGAAGGCAGTGTACATATTGTGTAAGCACAGCAGGAAAAATGCTTGCGTTTTACTGAAGTCCCCTGAGGGCCTGTGCTGTATATAATCCATACTGTATATGACCCTGGAGGTCTCTATGCCCTACAAGCAGCAAATCACATCAAAATAATGCACCTGAGGATTGTAGGCAATCACAGCCAGCATGGGCAGCACAACCGGTTCACACTGGTTCAGGGGAAAAGACAGTCCCCTCCCGACTCCCAACCAGAGGTCTTGACATACACGCACGTGTTTAAAGGAGTGTGAACCCCTCCTCTCCTCCTCCTCCTCCTCCTGGTCTGCAGCTCTATCACAACTGCCCCATTACTTACAATCACAGCAAATTGACAGAAATGAATTCTCCTCCTTGGGGACAAAAGTGAAGCGTGGACTGGTATGTCTGCTCAGGGCCTCATTTCCTCCTCGCTGTCTGATCCAGCTGAGTACTGAGCTATGAGGTGCCAAATCAATTTTCTGTCACTGGCTGGATCGTGGGCATGACTGCCAAGTAAACTTCCCCGAGTGAAGAGGTAAAGCTCAGGTATCGCATTCTGACGGAGGAGGAAGCACAACACCGGCGTCCTCCTCCGGTCCAATTCAGTCAAGCCGAAAACACCGAGCCTCTCCCCTGCGTGCTTTACAGGTGCGCGCTTTCTCATTCTGTCCAAGAGAAACAGAAGCTGACGTGCCTCCCCCACCACCATCACCGTTTAAGATCCATCTGGGCTACATGACACGGTGCATTCATCTACAGCCGTTTCTGTGAATATATCGGTCTCAGTTGTGCTGTGTTCACAGCAACAAATTACCTGAGAGCAGCTCCGCTCTAACAGTGTCTGTTCACGGCTGTGGACGTTTTTCACTCTCACTTCAAACACGTTAGCAAGCCCACAGCCGAGCGTGACACATTTTATAACCGTACTCAGATCGATAGCTGCTGTTGCTTTTGAAGGGATATCTTCGATTCACGCCAGCCGATAATGAGAAAACCTGTCGAGGACGCGCGTTCAAGCAGGTAACACGTAAGAGGGAATACAAATCACACGATCCGGAGCGGGCTCGGCGCTCGATGGGGTCTCTTATTGAGACATCTCTTGAAATCAGATTAATTACCAAATTAATGCAGATTGATGTCACAGAGCGAAACAGTCAAGCTCTGCAACGGCATTAATTTCCTGCAACAGACTATTACCCACAACGGCCTCGATCACCGCTCTCACCGAGACCTCTGCGGAGGAGAAGAAAGAATCTGAGAGTGCAGAATGTGCTGCATGCTTCCTTTGTTGTACGCTGGGTGCAGTTTACTGACAAGGTCTGCCTTTGATATCTGCCATCAGTAATAATAATTCATTACAGGGAGCGGCGTATTGTTTCCTCAGAGGGTTATGACACGCTACTTTTCCCTAACAAGTGCAGCCTTTCCCTCGTGTTTCTTCTGCCTCTTTCTCTTCACTCTCATCACAGCTGAGCTTTCATCTAAGCTAGCCGAGTGGAGGGAAAACGAGGGAGGGAGCACGCACGTCTGTGGAAGACTACTGGCTCGGCTCCGAGATGCAGTTGCCATGGTAACGGCATAGAGCGCCTCTTTTTTCTTTTTTTCTTTCTTTCTTTCACGCCCGCTCTCCTCTGTTTCTCCAAAGAGGAGTGACAGAGAAACAGCAAGACCGAGCGAACGAGGAGGAAAAGATGAGAGGCCAAAAGATGAGGCGGCTAGGAAGACGGGCGGATGGGGGTGGAGAGGTTGGGATCGAAGATAAACGGAAAAGAAAAGAAAATTACAAGCTGATGTGGCACCGCAACTCAGAGGAAATGTCAAGCAGCCTTTCCTCTGATTTTGCGTCGGACGAGCTGCGCACAGGGACTGACATTGAGGCTGCAGGCCACCTCCTGCTAACCTCCTTCTCCTACATGCTGAGCAATGAGAACCCTGTGCTCACCACTCTTTGCTAATCCCATTGTACAATCCACCACTCTGGATTGTACAATAGGTGATCTTAATCTCATTTACCATTAGCAATGCTTCAGAGTAATCAAAGAGCACCGGAGAGTAAAAAAAGTGAACAGAATAGCTGCTGCAAAGGGCTATATGCTAGATGTAGGATAAATGCAGCCAAAGTGAAAGAGTCCAAGGAGTCCTACTGTTTGATGATGAAGCAACAGCAGTGATATGTGGTATAAAATGTAGATAAAAGAGATATCTTGGGTTCCTGGTACACGGCGCCTGTACTTGAACATCAGCCCTGCTTCAGGGCTGATGTTCAAGTACAGTAAAAACAAGTCGAAGAAGCGACTGTGAAACATTCCAGCAGCAACAGTTCTCTGAATATTTTGCATATCAAAGTTATGTGACTCATATTCATATTCACAATGGGCATTTTGACTTCGGCAACACTGCATTGTGGGATTGTTTGCAGTAGCAATGCACACACCCTACACAAGGCATTTAAGTGTGAGTGTTAGAATACAATATGTTGCCAGTGATAATAGCGGGAGTCACTATAAAGTCATTTCTGTGATGTTATACACATTTGGAAACAGTCATCTACAATACAGCACAATATCTGTGCACCTGAAGATGAAAAAAATATCAATAAGAGGGCTGCAGAGCATGAATTATATATTTATTCTCCACACTGTGCTGTCGGTGTCTGTGTACTATCACACCAGTTTTACCTGAACGCTGTTTCAAATCAGTTATTTAGCTCTCTGATTTGATTTTTACTTGCGAGTTCATTCATTTCTATTTTCATTTATGAAGTAGCCACTCTAAGTGC